GAGTAATTATTTGAGCTACACGACGTTGTTGCGCTATTGTATTCTGGAGGAGAACGACAAGTTAAAAGTTATATTGCTAGATTGTTGTTGATTATACCGCAGTGAGCTTGAATCTCCTTAAAGAGAGCGAAATATTTACTCCAACCTGAATATTGTTTTATTTTATTTATTTATTCTATTTTCAATTATATTTTATTGTAATTTGTGGTATATACATCAAACGTATATAGTAATATGAAATATAGTAGGATGAATCTTTATTCTAATCACCTTTTATATTTTTTTGATTTATTATCTTTTAAACAATAAAAATATCTAGAGAATTTTTTATATTCAAGACTCCTAGGTAAAAAAAAACACCGAGATTTAATCGAATGGTATGATACCCAAGAGAAACTGAGATCATTGGCATAATTTTGAAAAGTTCAATTTTGTAAAAAAAAATAAAAAAAAATAATATGATATAAATTTTATAAAATAACTAACTGAATTGAGCCATTAATTAATAACCCTACCGAGAAAAATAATTTCAGAGCTCCCGGCAATACTTTACGAAGAAGAATTAACTAAGTATTATTTTTTGTTCATACTAATTTTTCGTTGGGTTTCATTTTCTTTATTCAGATATGGATTAACTATACAAATTCACCGTTTGGTCAAGTTCTTAAGTAGTCAGAGAAGTATTGAAAATATTTTTAAATTTAACGTAAATTATTAGTTTTATTCAAAGATGAATTCATGATTTGGAGGTTATGAGTGTCACGTGTTTAAATAAGATAAACGGGTCGGTTCCTTCTATTTACCAATATTTATAAATAACTTGATCAACTATGCATATTTAATAAAAAAATTCTTTTAGATATTTTAATATTATAGATACCTAAGTAGTTCAATTTTTTTTAGTAGTAATAAGAGATCCTATTCTCAAAACCTTGAGAAAATTAGAGATTCCTCACCTTAAAAATTTAAACTTGTATAAATCATCTAATATCACTATTACTTTATTATATTCATAAATCATTGTCTCAATGTGTTATTACATATATATAGTTGAGAGAAAATATAAAAAAATTATGGCTTCAACCCAGTTGTCTTCGATTAAGATATATAGTTGATAGAAAATATTAAAAAAATTATGACTTCAATCCGCTAAGCATGATGTAAAAGATCGAAAAAACCTTTAAATTAAAAGAACTCTAACATAATAATATCCATCATTCTTATAACTTTATTTATTTATTTTTAATTAAAATACTATTAAAATATATTTTTATTAATATTTATACAATATTCAAAATTTGCTACTCATTAATAATTAATATAGAATGCACGCGCAATACAAATATCAAGAGATAAATACTTAGTGAAAGAGACAATTTTTTTTTAAAACAATTAGGAATTAATTAAAGCAAAAAATAGTCAATTGGATTAACAAATAATAATAGCAAATAAGGAAGATTTAAAGGGGGGAAAATTTGAAGCCATACGCACATTAATGGGAAAAAAGGGCAAAAAACTAGGGCTATCAAGGGTTTCAAACCCTCAACACCAACATGGTGAACTAAGTCTTTTACCCCTCACACCATTAAGGATTTTAGTTCATGAGTGACAAGCTTAATATATAACCGATTCGTTATACATATACATATATCAAAGTTTTCACCGAGGTCACTGAGTGCCGTGGAACCCCCACCCATGCACTTAGATCTGCCCCTGATTTTATTTTTGAACCATCTATTGACAGTCTTAAAAACATCTCTTAACTTGACTAAATGAACTTAAACACGCCTCCGATCTTGCAACATGAGTGAAATACATCTCTAAATTCTCACCAAGTTTATGACTATTTTCATCACTTCTCTCGACTTTTTATTAAGAACGTCATACTTTTACAAGTGTTTGAAACTAGTTGTTATGTCATGTGGAAGATCGAGAGTGTATCTAAGTTTAGTTGGTCAAGTAAATAAGAGTTTTTAAGGTTGTCAATATGTCACGTGGAAGATCAGGGATGTGGTTATCAATTTTTATTTTATTTTTTAAAACACTTGTCAAATTAGCTGTTTTTAAAAGTTTGACCAAAATAGAAAATTCACAAACCTACTCCAGCTAATTTGGCATTTAAAAAATGTTGATTAATTTCGAATGGAGAACAAAGGTCAAGTTGATGAATTCATTGGTAATGATTTAGGTGGTTGATTAATTATAATCCATGTATCATGTTTAATTTGTAGGTGGACGCGATTATTGCACTTAACCGCGGATTTAGGGATGATTTAAGCAATAACAAGTGTAGTTAAGACTAATTCTATTTTATTAGTATGTGATTGTTGACCACTTGATTTTGTCCAAAAATCACACCAACGTTTTCTTTTTTTGTCCCAAGTTTCCTAGTGCTGTCTGACACTTAAAAGTAGAGAATGTTGCAAAAAATTAATTATTCTAACTGAAATGCTTATGTGTTATTTATGATAAATGAGTAAGTATAAGTGAGCAATGTGTATAATGTGAAAATGCTACTGAGTGATTCTTAATTATTGGATGGATGGTCTACAATCAATTGTTAAATAGTTATGAAATATCATTAACTCAAATGTTGAATAAAAATGAAAACTTTATAGATATATCAAGAGATATTGATAACAACCCTAATTAGATTGATATTAGTAATATTTTGAGAGTTTATTGAATATTTGTTACTTTAATTTTGAGAATTTATCTTTAATCTACTTATTTCATTGTTCAAGATACAAGGTAATTTACTCTTATGATATTTTTTATTTTATTTTTATATTCTTTAGAAGATGATTAGTTTCATATATTAATTTGTTGTCTTAAGTAAATCAAAAATCTTTTTGTTTTTGTGCATGCATGTATATTTGTTTATTTTTCTCCTTCTATTATTGTAACTAGGGATGTTCAAAATCGAGTTAAGCCGATAACCTGAATAAAAAATAAGTTAATGGGTTATTGATTTAGCGGTTTTATAAAGTTTTTGCTTCTTTTTTTTGTTATTGGGTTATCGGTTCTTAATGGATTGCGATTTTTTCTTAATGGGCTAACCGATAACCCGATAGTAAAATAATTATATTTATACCATTTTGTATATAAAGTTCTTGACTTAGAGTTTAGTTTTTACTTTTATTTCTGGTTGTCCCAAGCTCTTGATTATTCTACAATGTAAAAGTGTTTGCTTTTGAGCAAAATGCAACTTATGAACTCATGTGCATGGTTCATTTGGTTTGTCACCTTGTTTCTAAGTGATTTTCAATAAAAAATTTTGTGTTAAAACCAACAACCGAACCTATATCGATCAATAATCGATAAACCGATAAGTCAATATCTTAATGGTTCTATAACGATCTAACATCTTTATAAACAGATAACAAATAAATCAAATCGATAAACTTTAAAATCGAACCGAACGATAGTAACAAAGTGGAAATGTTAGAAATTGAGCAGAAGTGGGCTCAGAAAACTGTCGGCAGAAGCCAAAAAAGCCTTTTGGGTAGACAAATCAAGAAACATGACAAACTATGGACTTCATTCTTTAAATTGCCCTTTTTGGACCACTTTTTCCATCATTTTCTTTCTAGTTGCACTGCCACTATTTATCCCATTGGGAATTTTTAAGGCAAGAGCTAACATCATACTTTATTTTGAAATTGTTATGTGTTTGTTACTACTTCATTTGTGATAAATTCCTATGCTAAGCAAGTCTTTTGCACTTAAAGAAAATAACGTAAAATAGCTGTTGTAAGGAGGGAAAGATTAGTGCTAAATCTTTTTGCACTGTAATTAGACGCGTGATTACTGTGGAAATGAAAGCAACTTCTTGGCTGTCCCTTTCTCCAACTATATTTATTATAACTATTTTAGAAATCATTCATATATTGTTATTACTTATAATTAAATATTCTCCAATTTATTTATTTTATAATTTGCCGACACATAACAGTTAACCTAGTGGACATCTTAATATGTCATACGATAGTGACTTTTCCAGAAAAAAAACACCGACTTATTGTCGCCTCCTAGTGGAATTTGTTAGCTTTACTCCATGCATAAAATACTCAAGTTTCATATTTGTAAATATTTATTTATTTTGTTTACTAGGTAAACAATCTAAGTTCTTCACTATTCGAAATAATAATATTTTTCATTGTCCATAACTTCAACTTGTTAATATTTTTTCAAATCGCAATGAGTGAGTAAAAAAAGTAAGACAAAAATGGGTCTCACATAATTTGACTTTACAAGTGAGAGAGTAGGGCATACATATCTCTTGGTGACTGTGCTGCTTTTCTGATAGGGCACATATTACCTGTTTGTTATGATCATAAATAATAAAAGGGAACCTCTTTCGAGCTTGGTGACAAAAATGCAGCTAACAATAAAGTATAAATATGTCTCCCTGTCCCTTTGGTATAATGACCTGAACATTATCTCGGAAACTCGGAACTGAACTGATAGAGCAAGGCAGCCAGCCTGAATGCACAGAGCATTCCGCATTAACAAGCCCGGCAACCCAAAAAATGAGCACCAAATGGCCTATCATTCTTGTGTGACTGGAACAATCAATATATGTTCCTGTAGTCTCTACGACATTCCCCTGTAAAGTGTCATTGGCATCTAAATCCAATGAGAATAGGGACAACAACAACTAGCCCGACATTTGAAATGCCCTAGTCCGAAATCAGAAACAGGACATAAACGCAAGTTGAAACCATAATTCATGATTTCACATGCACCATTCAAGAGAAGTGTTTCTCCACACGGGAACAAATTCAGTTAATGCTTTTAATTTTCCTTTTCATGTAATCAACAAGTTTGCTATAACGCCATACAAAAAAATGGCTATGGACACTGTACAGATAATGAACAACAACAGACCATCTTATACAACTGTAAGAACAAATATTACACGGTAAACCAGGGTTAATGCTGCATAAGGCCGGATGTGACAGTCCAATATGAGAGAACTAGTAGACTCACTCCCCCAGCTCCAACCACCCCTCCATCTCTTGGTATTAGTAGCATCAGCAATCACATGCACCAACCAAGCCAAGAAAGAGGTTCAACCCATCCTGTATGCCCAGCTATGCTTATCCAAAAATGCATGTACAGCTTCTTTTATGGCCAAATTTGGCACCAGCTGAGATTCCTTGAGGGGTTGTCGAGTAACCGGGTCAAATTTTCCAACCTTATTTGCCACAGAGAGAAATTTATAGAACATACAATGCAATGTGAGCTCCATTACAGCTAAATCAATGGATGAACCAATTATACCTTATGCAGATGATCAAGGATCAGTGCCCTTTCATATGTAACCCCACTGGGCGTAATGACAGGGTCACGTAAAATGTCAAGCGTGATCTTACAGCATAGGTAATCTGGTACCTGTTAATTCTTAGCAGGTGTCAAAGGACAATAGCATACATGCACTATTCAAAGAAATCAGTAAGGAAATAAAGCCAAAAGACTGACCTTGGTGGGAGTATCGTCTTCTGCAGTGATCCTGAAAACCCTGCCTAAGGCATCCAGTTGCTTCAACAGGGATGTCGATCTATTGCCTATGAACCCTTCCATCTGAGAGCAATCAAGCTCATGTTTGTCCTTGAGAGCCGACTCACAGGCTTCTCTGATGTACATATACAAGAGAAACAATGCTGTGACAACAGCAAAAAATAATGCAAATTTATAAGTTTTAAAGCAGAGGCAATACTTCAATTTCTTAAGTTCCAAAGTGCGTCTCGAAGATTCATGGTCCCACTCCAAGTATTTTGCTTTTGCAAGCTCCTGCCATCTCTTCAACCATGTAACTCTTTGGATTAGCACCTCTTCCGAGATCCAATGCCTACCATTCATACATTAAATACAAGATTATTCAACTGAACATACTCAAAATCGGTATAACAGAAAATACATTCATTCAAACTTCTTTGAAAAGTCATCCCCCAAAAAAAGACCAAGAAATCATTTGTGCCAGAACCTTAATGAATAGGAGTTCTGAATTTTTATGGTGATAAATTAGATATTGGCTTCCTGTGCCAAGAACTAACTCATGATTTAATTAACAAATCAATGTAATATATGCTGCTCAAGGCAACTCAAGCAAAACTTTTAGTTTTAGGCCCAAAATGTAGACTGTCCTGCTCATATGCAAGATGCTATCTGTCATCAGCCATGGCACTACTGTTAAGGAAATATGACAAAGTATCAGAGGATAATCTCTTAGCAACAAAAGATGCTTTGCTTGAGCCACTGCCTTTGTTCAACACTGTTACTGTGCTAGAATACCCGACGAGTACCAAGAATAGGATATGACAGTCACCTCAAGATGGATCTAAGGCTAAGGGGGCAGAAAACAAGATGTTCTGTCAATGGGCTTTCTTTTCTATATGCACCAAGCGCACCAAATTTTCCGAGGCAGACGAAAAATTCCCATGCCTTCCTCACACCCTTTATTTCCACAGCATTAGTCACAATGCCACTGAAATAATCTATATAATTTATTTTTTGATAATCATTCATATAGACAATTTTACAAACTCGGACTCTAGGCACGTGATAACATGCCAATGGAACCACATACATGATCAGACCTTTAGGCTAAGTGTAAGTCTTCATTGTCTGAGAGAGTATTTGTCTCCGCTGAGTTTTGAACCACCAAGGCTAGGACAGATGGGAAGAATCACCTAAGTTTTTTTTTGTCTCTGCCGAGTTTTGAACCTAAGACCTCAAGGTTCTCAACCACTTCATTGACCACTGTCTCTGTCGAGTTTTGAACCTAAGACCTCAAGGTTCTCAACCACTTCACTGACCACTAGGCCACACCCTTGGGTGCTAAAGAATTAAATTTTATCAACTTTAGTTTGATACCTTTAATTAATTAATAGAAATATATACCTTTTTATGTCATAATAAACATTCATTGATTGTATCCTAGTATGTGTATCCACACTTGATCCATAGCCCTGAATCCAAAAAGTTGTGGTGAAAGTCCAACCTCTAGATTTGCACCCATATCGAGTACCCACACTCGAGTTTGAGCAACATAGGGTTTGGTTGTATCCTAGCACGCGTATCCACACTTGATCCATACCCCTGAATCCTAAAAGTTATGTGGTGAAAGTCCAACCTCTAGATTCACACCCGTATTGAGTACCCACACCCGAGTTTGAGCAACATAGGGTTTAGTAGCTCGCAAGGCTCATAACCTTGCGGGCACGAGTTCAAACCCTCTCTCTGCAACTTTTCAATAGACTAGTTAAATAATAACTTACCACAAACTAAGGCCTAAACTAGAGTTAGATTTAAATATTTTTTATAACAAAAAGTTACAAAAGAGCCATAAGCTAGCATAATCAACTTCACGCTACCCCGACTATATCAATCAACTACCTCAGTCTCAAATTAGTTGGGGTCAACCATATAAATCTTTTGTATCCCCCCTAATCCACTTTGACCTATATCCTTTTACTACTTAGTAATTTATTTTTTCAAATTAGCTATACTTTAAAACTAGGGATTCCCTAATGCATATCTCCAAATTGGCAAACAAATTTCCAACCCAATTAAAGAAACTTTCGGCAAATGCAAGAGTTGATGTAACATGACAATTGAGTTTCAATTCCAACAATTAGTTTCACATGAGTAGATTATGTACTTCCATTGTGTTCCATTACTAGCTAAGTGAGCGTTTGGCCATGAAAACCAAATATTTTTCACTTTATTTGAAATTTTTAAAGTCGGAGTTGTGCTTGCCCATACCTTTTGCAAAGAATATTTAAATTATGAATGTACTTTTTATAAATATGGTTTATACTCACCCATTACTAAAAACTAGCAAAATCCCCCTACTGGACTAATTCATTTGGAACATACAATCAAATCTGCTCTAAAAGAGTAATATTTCAAAATAGATAGTTATATAGTGGCATATATTAGATTCTATTTATAAGCTACTACATACTATTGGAGATATTTTCACTTTATTTGAAATTTTTGAACTTGGAGTATGTTTGGTTGTATTTTTTTGCAAATAATATTTGATTGTTTGAATGTACTTTACCTAAAAATCTTGAAATATAATTTAAATGGGGTCATTTTTTTTATAAAAAATAAACATTACGGTGAAATTTGAAAAAAAATATAGTGAAAGTTAAAACAAGGTTTTGGATGTTTTCCAAATAAGTAGCCTTTGTGAAACTCATCCCACAATTTGTGAATGTTTTTGTAAAGGTAACACCATGTAGAAGTCTTGATGCACTTAATCAAATTTTGACTTGATTACTTCTCTTTCATAATACTGGTTCCTGTTGGTCATATCTCCACAGCCACTTCATCAGCATACACTCGTGATTAGCCAAATTCTTGATGCCTAGACCTCCCATTTGGTTGTGACAAAGTTGGTATCAGAGTTTTAAGTTCGCTGATCTCATCGTACAAGGACATGTTTAGTAGAGCCTTGCGTAGAGATATTTGTACTGCTCTTCGAGAGGCTACAAGAAACTAGAAAAACTCAGTCTTTCCTTTGTACTAGTACTTGATTCCAATTGGTATCAAACTCTTTCCTCCCACAGATGGTAAGAATACGTTCAGGAGAGGTTAGAGCAAAGGCACCTGAGTTGTCCATAACTTGGGGTTGAGGATGAGCCAAAAGAGGCAGTTGGGGCAGGAAGAAGGCAGCATTGCTAGCTAGGGGTAGGGCCCAAGCTGCTGATCAGGTTTTAGTCCCCGGCACCTCTAGAGGTTTCTATAGGCAGAGGCATATAACACCTCGAAAATTGAAAAGTTGGATTGGAAAAGGAAGTCTCATAAAAGTGCACTAGTGCAGTTCCTACGGAACCTATCTACGGTTCGTAGAAACCTCCACGCGTCGTAGAAAGCTTCCACGGAACTTGAGTTAAATATTTTGAAAATGTCAAGTCTCTGATGTTTGACATCCTGATGAGTAAGAGAAATCATAGGAGGGTCTATGGGCCGTAGGAAGTGCCCGTAAAGGTGATTCAAAGAATTGATTTGGGACTCAGTTCTACAAAAGGAGTTGACGACTTGACGAGTCGTCACATGGTCTAAAGGATCGTAGGTGGGATCCATAGAAGTGATCTAGACTTGGTGAAATTTTGGACCTGAACTTGAGTTCTACGAGCAGTAGAATGTTGGACGGGCCGTAAGGTCTTGTGGAATCGATCATAAATTTTGAGTCCCAGTAAATGATTCTATGACTGACCAGGATGCCGTAGAAGTTCCTACGAACCGTAGGTCAAAGTCGTAGGGTCCTCCAACAATTTTTAATAAAAGGTGTTTTGGTCTTTTTCTACCAATTAACCCTTAAACTACGTCATTTGTCCCTATAACTACCCCTATAACCGTTTCTACCCTTCAAACTTAGCCTAATTACTCTCATTCACTCAATTCCCCCAACTCTCTCTGCCTTCCTCTCCAATTTTTTCCGCAAGAGCTCTCAAGTCAAGGATTAGGGTTTCATCAAGGTTCTCCTCTCCATTACTTGGGCCTTGGTTACCCAAGGTATGTTGGAATTCACCAATGGATCTCTTTCATTGGGTCCCAAAAGGGATGCCAAAACCGACCAAGTCACAACTCAGGGGGAGTTGACTTTCAAATTCTTCTGCAACACTGAATGTTAGTGTTAATTTTAATGATATATGTGCAGGAAATACCGAGAGAATAGTCCTAAGCAGCACAAAAAGACGAAACCCATCAAGAAGATATCAAGGAGATATCAAAGGGAGATGGACAATCAAGCAGATTCTAAGGATACCAAGGAAAAGCCTTAAATAAAGAAAGAAGATGCTGTCAATCAAAACTGATAAAAGAACGGTTGAAGCAGCTGTCAAATCACAATGGAAATAAAAGGTGCTGTCAAGATATTGCGCTGGAAGATTTCCCTAATTGAAATCAAAGTCTTAAACGACTTTGCCTTAATCTTAGAAATAGGATCTCCTTTCCTTTTTCCAAGGATCAAATCTCTTGGGTTGCGCCTCCCTTCAAGAAGCCTTCAGAGTCTATTTAAAAGAAAAGAAGTCCTGAGGAATCATATACTAGACGTCTGAGCCTTCTTATATTTCTCTTCTACCTTTAGCAAACATTGTTGTTCTGAGAGACTTACTGTGTAACAAAGAAGAGAGAAAATTACTTGGTATTGAGTTGAGTGTAGATTTAGGATTTACACTTGTAACCCTTTCAAAATCACAAAGTCTAGAAGAGAACACCCTTGCAACCCAAGGGGACTGGAGTAAGATCCATTCTGGATCCCAACCAGTATAAAAACATCTGGTGTTGAATTTCCTTACTGCACTTTACTTACAGCTTTACTGATTAATTGTTGTTCAAGTCAACTGCTGAAAAAGTTAGTCAAGTCAACTAAGAAAAGTAAAAGGATCAATTCACCCCCCCCCCCCCTTGCACTTTCATGGAGCTCGAACAAAAATTGATTGTGATTGAGGGTGGTCACTTTAAGACCTACAGTGTCTTCTGATATGTTCGAAACCATTTTTGCAGTACTTCTAGGATTGGGCTGCCATAAGAAGTCATTGGAACTCTCCTATCAAGCATTTGAATACTAATTGCAGCATATCTAGTTCAGACTCATAGAGGGACTGTGTTCTTCAGGCTTGTCATTGCTGCTGCACTAGTTCATTCAGGCCGTCGAATGATTCTTTCTGTATCAGCATAAGACAAGTTTTTGGAGAGTCTGTTGTTGGAATCTGGGATTAGAGTGTTTACCTAGGAATTGGAAAATTTTATCTGCTATGTCTTACAACCCACTGTTGTATGCATTTCTGGAATTATAATTCCTGATTTCTCCCCCACCTATGATTCAATTCTTACATAGCGTCCATATAAATTGTAGTTTTGGTGAACTCTGTAAGTATATGTTTGTATCTTCCTCCCCAATGTCTGTAATGATTTCCAATAACTCTTGAGGCCTGTTTGAGAGCATCGCAAACCCATCGGAGGTTTTCATCTAATTTGATATTGCCTATGTATCATCTTAAACTGCATTCTGTGAATGTAAACCATCTGTCGATATCCACACTAATACTAACTCACTCAAAGTATTTCTCCCTGAATTTGAAAGCTTACCTTTGTTGGGAAATCGAGCCTAAATATCTCAATTATCTGCACCTAAGTATCACAATCGCGTATTTTCCTCCATACACATTAAATACTAAAATTGTGTATGATCACACTTCAACTCCATTCTTCCTGTTGTGACTAATTGCTATGCATATATCCCAACTTACTTCCGCTTATCCAAAGTTTTTACTCTGTAGAGTGCTTCTTCATACTTCCAGTTTTTGGTGAACTCTTGCTCTGAATTCATCAATCAATATAACATCACCCTGCAACTAGGATGCACCATTAACTAGGATAAGGAACTAAGGAAGCACGAGCTCAAGACCAATTCCTGATTTAAACCATGGTTATAGAAACTCCTATGGATCTCCTACTGTCCTCACACTCCAGCTTTGTACATATATGTTAACATATTTGATATAGATTAAATTCTTCCTCACACTCCAGCTTCGTACATTTATGTTAAACATATTTGATATAGATTAAATTCTTCTCAAGCAACACTATCAAGGCCAATGTGTATCATGTTAATATTGTTCTTGCTATTCCTATAAATTTACATCAGTCGTCCAAACATATATAAAACATATGTTGTAGATCATTCTTTTTTTTTTTTGAAATGGTAACTGTACATATGTTGTAGATCTACAAGACATATTCAAACTCATTTTAAGTTCCCCTTTAACACTTGATTTTGTGTTGTCACATTTATTACAAGTAAAAGGTAAATTTGAGCTTTGTCACTATTTCAAGAAGTTCTATTGCATGAATCGTACATTTAGGGGTCGTTTGGTAGAGTGTATTAGGAAAAATAACACATGCATTAGCCTTGTGTATTACTAGTATCTTGTTTGATATTCTTTTCTAATCTATGTATAACTAATGCAAGCATTAATTATACACTTTATAGTGTATTAAGGTATGCATTACTAATACCATGGATTTCTAGGTATTAGCAATGCAATGGTTTTAATGCATGCATTAACTCAATTAAAGACCCAATTACCCCTCAAAACCTTTTTTACATCTTTTCCACCATAATAGTAGAGGGTATCTTTGTAAATAATTATTTTATGCAATACATGCTATTTTTAATGCATCAAACCAAACAATGCATAAAAATAATTTACGTATAATTAACGCAAGCATAACTAATACATGCATTACAAATACAAGCATTACTAATACACTCTATTTAGCATTATTATTATACACTCTACCAAAAATGACCCCTTAGTACCTAGATCCTACCTTCTTTGTTCTCATATCTCTTAATTATATAAACTATTTTTTTGCTCATTTGGCATCTTTTTGAGAAGGTAATTTTTTTAGTTTTGAGGACTCATTTGGCATCTTTCAGTCTTTAGTCTTTAATGTAATGTCAATTGCTTGGTTAAGCAAACTATACCAATCTCCGAGGCACAAACATCTACAGGCTACCATCTAGACCAGAAGATTCAAACCCTTATACTGTGACATCCACAATTCAACAAACCTAATTAATTTTACAAGGCTATCTAGGTTTTTTGTTCTGCATGGATGTATCCATAAAGTTATCCTCAAAATTTGTGTTAAACAATTTATCAAAACTACATTTTCTCTTTCCTTAATTTTAATATCTTTTGTCAAAACTAGTTGCCATCTGGAAATGACCATTAATACATTTAACCTACCTTTTGACCTTTTTACCAATGTTGTCTGTTAGTTGTGCTAACTTGTATATTCCTGTCCCTCATTCGTGTGTGTCTCAACTTTTGGTACAAGTCACCTAAAGCTTTACTTTGGACTTTACTAATTCTTACTTAGCTTCTCTCTTAAGTGCTCTTACACTCTTCCATATCACTCCATCTTCAATTGTTGGTAGATTCTTACACTTATCTCTTTTACACCACCCTGAACAGTACAACAACAATGCTTCAATCCCAACTTAAGTTGAGATCGGTTATATGAATCCTCGTTTCTTCATTTGGGCTCATATCATTATCATACTAAATAAAATAAAAGTGAAAATTAAGTTATATATATATAATATTAAAAATTCTCTAAAAGTCTAAAAAACCTATCATCAACTAGAAGCTATTCCTATATGGATCTATTCCTTCCATTGCACCCTATCTTTAGCTAAGTTTGCATTGGTTCCAAGCATTTGTAGGTTTTTCGAGACAACTTTCTTAAGTGTAATATAAGGTCTACCCCGTCCCCTTTTAATACCTTCATCTGTGTATCAACACAAGACATACCCAAACTATCTCAAGTGACCTCACATTGTATCCTGAATGTGTGCTACTTGCACCTTCTGACGAATGTGGTCCTTATCTAATTTGGTATGACTATAAATCCACCTTAGCATCCGCATCTTGTGGATATGTTCGACTTTAGCAACCCCACATTCACTACCATATAACATGATCGGGTCTTACAGTTGTTCTATAAAACTTACCTTTCAATTTGGTAGGCAGTCTTCTTTCACATAATACCCCAATAACACTTATCTGTTTCAACAATCCAGTTTTAATACTATGAGTAACATCTTTATCTATCATTCCATCCTCTTGAAATGAGACTAAATGTCTAAATTGTTTACATTTTGGCACCGCAATCCCATCTAGTCTCACTCAACTTCTCTCTTCTCATTCTGACTAAAATTGAAATGCATGTATTCAGTCTTACTTCCACTTATCCTAAAACCTCACTTGCTAACAGTATATATGTAATAAATTCTATATTTTATTTTTTATGAAATAGGAAGTCATTGTAGACATTTCTCATATGCATACTACACTCCATCAATCACCTCGACTTTCGTTTATGAGAATTGTCACCTTTTTTACTCAGACTGCTCACCATAATGAATAATCCATTGTATGGACAGCTTCTAGGAGAATCAAGAATAATATTCATGAGCATCAAAAGTTTAGAATATAAGAAAAGTTCTTAACTATCCAAGCACTAATGATGTCTGAAAAGATTCATTAGACTTTAGATAATAGAATACACAAAAATAAATAGACAAAACCAAAAAGGTTCAAAAATCTAGTCTTACGCCAAATAAGCCTACTCATTACTTTCATTATGCACACAGTATAACAAACAAGAAAGAGCAGTAACATGGACACTTAAAGATAAATCTGAATACACTGGTTGCATGAGGATTGATTTAGTTAAAATAAAAATGAGACAAGGAAGTAATAATGTCAAGAGGAATAGCAGTACTACAGTACAAGAAATGCTTGCTTAAAAAACATGTCAAGTCAACTTTTTAGGAAACGGATCGAACCTGCAGCTTAAACCAAGTAATGCATAGAAAGCATAATGATTCACAGGAGACTCAGAGCCATGAATGTCAAAGTTTTAGGCGCCACTGTGATACATTATTGCTATGCAATAGGTGGGTCCAGTGGAAAATAAATGCTTACACAGACAAGTGTCCATACCTTTGCTAATTCTCTTACTCCATCCGCATATTGTTCTTTCTGTAGTAATGCAAGACCCAACATATAGTGCGTGCGCCTGCCAAATCATCCTCCTATTATCATCTTTAGAGAACTAAGAATTTCTAGCTATACAAGCTTAAAAGACTGAAACTCAGGGTTAAGAAGAGACTGAAACAATTTGGACATTGTTTGATTTAGGGTTCTATACTCTAACTAGCTAAATTTATTTTCTAAAATTTCGAACTTACAGATTCCTCAATTTGTCCAGTTAATTTACAAATGAACAATTCTCATGAATTACTACGAATCTTTTCAGTATATTTTTTTTGAATGGCAAGTGTGCTGGTCTACTTTATGCACCAAGATTTTCCCTCTCTACCAAAACATCAATCAGCTATGAATAACTCCTTTGGAAACACCCCAATTCAGAGAACCCCATAAATTATGCAAGAGTCATGGATTCTAAGAGTTCTTCGGGAGCGAAAAAGAGGATTTGTCTACCTCAGAGATCCCACTGTTGGATTCACCAAGGAAGAACACACAGGGCTAGGCATTCGGTAATTCGGATTTTACGGTATTCAGTTTTCGTAATTGTTGTACCGAACAACGAACTGAATTAATTTGGTTCGATTTTTTTAAAATTCGGTTTGATTTTTTGTAATTAGGTTCGGTTTATTAAATTTGGTTTTTGTTATGGGCCTGTCAAAATCGCAGCAATTTGAAATCACTGGTCGCGTTCGCTGGTTGCTGGTCTCGGTCCCGTTCGCTGGTTGCTGGTCTCGGTCGCTGCCCTGGTCGGCGGTCGCTGGAGGCTGCCCTGATCAGCGGTCGAGTGTGGCGGAAATTTGGAATTGGAAGAGACGAAGAGTGCTAAGGGCAAAAAAGAAAATAAAACTCAAAAGGCTTAGCAGTATGAAAAATTACATAATATTTATTATAGTATATATATTAGTGTGTATATGTCGGTTAAACCGAAATACCGAATTTACGAAAAATATGTTACTGAAATACGAACCGAAATATCGAAAATACAAAAACATATTACCGAAAACCGAACCAAAATATCGAGAAAAAAAATTGGTTCGGCTCCACACAATGCAAAGCGAACCCCAGTATTTAAGTGGAGAAGGGTAGAGGGGCGGGCCCATTATCCACCGAGTTTAGAAGGTTGTGGATTGGTCCAAAGGGCAGGTCACAAACGGATTTTTCGATTATAAAAAAAATAAAATTGGTTTGGTTCAGTATTTCGGGTTTTCAATATTTATGCCCAGCCCTAGAACACACCCAAATGGTAGAAACTTTTCACCTCAATGATAGGTAAGTTCAAGAAAATTAGACCCTCCATAGATTGCATTTGACTGATTTCAATTAGCCAGTCTCCCTCAAATAAGGTTGGGCATAAATACCGAAAACCTGAAATACCGAACCGAATTGTTTCGGTATTTAGGTTTTTGGTTCGGTTTTTAGTAATATGTTTTTGTATTTTCGGTATTTCGATTTGGTTTTCGGTAACATGTTTTCGTAAATTCGGTATTTTAGTTTAACCGAAATATACACACTAATATATATAAAATACAATAAACATTATGTAATTATTAATACTACTAAGTCTTTTAAGTTTTATTTCCTTTATTGCCCTTAGCAACTAATAAGTTAAATTAGGTTTACATTTTTGTTTTTCCCTCAGCACTCTTCGTCTCATCCAATTCCAAATTTCTGTTGCACTCTTCCAATTCCAAATTTTCAATTTCCGCCACACTCGACCGCCGACGAGGGCAGCCTACAGCGACCACCGACCAGGGCAGCAATCAGCAACCGCGACCAGCAACCAGCGAGCGCGATCAGCGACCAGTGATTTCAACTTGTTGCGATTTCGACAGGCAACAAAAAACCGAATTTAGTAAACCAAACCAAATTACAAAAAAATCGGTTCGGTGTTTGGTACAACAATCCAAAAACCGAAATAAAAAAACCAAACCGAATTACCGAATGCCCAGCCATACCTCAAAGGAACAATCAAAATCGTAGCCTATGACATGCACCATTATTTGTTGATTTTGATTTATAAGAGGATCACAAAAACATTTACAGTAGGAATTTTCTTCCTATTTGTGACACGCTAATGATACTCTGGAAATGGACCAAAAATTTCAAACCAAAAAAGAAATATCTTTTGCCCCCCGTATGAATACCTTGCCAAGACTCCCATGGCATTTCTTGAATGGGATGCTTTGTGTAGAATTGTGGATCCAATTTGTAATCCTATTATCACAAAGCTACTTTGTCCAAATCGAGACCAACAACTGCTAAGGTTAAAGTGGAGATCGACTTGACCAAACCATTGTTAGAATAGAAATAAGTATATACAATCCTAATTAGAATAGGAATAGGAATAGGAATAAGAATAGGAATCCTAGTTGGAAAAGGATTCCAATGTAGCGTCTATAAATAGGGTTTCAATGTAATAATGTAGATACACAATTCAATAATATATTTTATCCTATATTTCTCACATGGTATATGGTGAGAAAATCAAATCAATCGTCACTGTGCAATTTTCCGGTGACCTAAATTGCTGTCCCAGAAAAAAAAAATCAGCAATTATTCCGGCCATTTTTTTTCCAGCAGTTTTTTTTTTTTTCTAGTGGGGTTGCCTCTTGATTCCAAGGCTGACCATATAATTTTTTTTTCCTAATTCCGACCAGTTTTTGGCGACCAGATTATTTTTTTCCGGCAGTCAGATCTTTTTCAGCAGTCAGATTCTTGCCCCAAATTTCTATTTTATTTCCAGCAGTCAGACTCTTGCCCCAAATTTTTATTTTATTTCCAGCAGTCAGATCAAATTTTTTTTTGTGTGTGAGAATATTCTAATTTCACAATATGTCATTCGGGATTGATATTTTTGGCTCTAAAAATATAGAAAGTTCAAGTGCTATGATCACTTCAGAACCATTAATGGGAAGCTCAAACTATTTAGCTTGGGCTTCTTCGGTTGAGTTGTGGTGCAAGGGTCAAAGCGTCCAAGATCACTTAACCAATAATGCTTGTGTGGTAGATGAAAAGGTAAAGGCTAGTGAGGCAGATGATAAAGCCAAAGCACAATGGGAGAAGGTTGATGCTCAATTATGTAGTCTCCTATGGCGATCTATCGATTCCAAGTTAATGCCCTTGTTTCGCCCATCCCAGACACGTTATTTAGTTTGGGAAAAGGCACGTACTTTATATACTAATGATATATCTCGATTCTATGATGCGATATCTAGAATGACCAACTTAAAGAAACAAGAATCCGATATGTCTACCTACTTGGGACAGGTACAAGCGATCATGGAGGAATTTGAAACATTGATACCAGTCAATATGAATGTGGAAAAACAACAAGAGCAAAGACAGACGTTGTTTCTAGTTCTTACACTTGTTGGACTTCCTCTTGACCATGATTCAGTGCGTGATCAGATTTTAGCTAGTCCTGCAGTACCTACAATTGATTAATTATTCTCTCGTCTACTTCGTCTAGCCGCGCCTCCTAGTCACAAAGTAGTTTCATCATCCACCATTGACTCCTCTATTCTGGCATCTCAAGCCATAGACAAACGAACATATCAGCCTATGGAGAATCGACGAGGAAGTGGTTGTTTTGGAAGAGCTCGATCCAAGTGTAGCTATTGTCATAAGATTGGGCACACTCGTTTTTTTTTAAAATAGAAGCTTGGGCACACTCGTGACATGTCATATTTTGCATGGTCCACCACCTAGTTATGATCCTACTGCCATAAAGGAATATAATGAGTCCCTTCGGAATCGCGCAAGTAAGCCAACATCTCCACAAGTAGCATCTGTTGCTCAGCCTGATCAACCACCCAATAATGCTCATATTGCTCAGGCAGAATATGTTGAGTTCCTTCGGTATCGAGCAAGTAAGCAAACGTCTCCACAAGTAGCCTCGGTTACTCAGCCTAATGTTCATGTTGCGGGTAATTCTTTTGGTTGTGTTTCAGTCTAGTACTCTTGGATCATGAGTTATGGACTCGGGCACTTCTGATCATATTTCTGGTAACAAATCACTTATGTCTGATATTGTTTATTCACAATCTCTTCCTGCTATTACTTTAGCCAATGGGATCCAAACAAAACCAAAAGGGGTTGGAAAAAGCCAAACCGCTCTCTTCTGTCCCTCTAGACTCTGTTCTTTATGTCCCTGGTTCTCCTTTCAATCTAACATTTGTTAGTCATTGGACGCGTGTCTTCTCTTAGGTTTCTTCCTCCCGCGCCCGTCGCCGCACGACCCGCGTTAGAGGGGAAGATTAGCAAAGCGGGAAAAGAAAGAGGGAAGGGGAGCAGCATCTTATTCTCTTCGCGAGAACTTCCGGATCGTAGAAGCATTCGGAACGGGCTCCGCGTTCATTTCGTTGGCAGAAACGATCCATTCCATTCGGGGCTTCGAGGAACCAAAAAATTGGACTTGAGAATCAAGGATAGATAGACAAGAGATAGGCATAATTTTTTTCGATGATTCTTTTCTCATGCAGGACCACGGTACGGGACATCTGATTGGCACAGGACATGAATCACAAGGCCTTTACTATCTTTCCTCTTCAAATTCCTTCACAGCATGCTCCGATCCTCCAGCCCTAATTCACAAACATTTGGGACATTCGAGTCTATCCAAACTACATAAGATGGTGCCTAGTTTATCCACATTAGATTGTGAGTCGTGTCAACTTGGGAAACATATCCGTGCTACATTTTCCCATAGTACTGAGGGTCGTTCAGAGTCTATTTTTTCATTAGTCCATTATGATATTTGGGTTCCTAGTAGAGTCAGTTCACCCTTAGGTTTTTGTTATTTTGTTAGTTTCATTGATGATTATTCAAGATGCACTTGGGTTTTCTTAATGAAAGATCGTTCTGAGTTATTTTCTATATTCAAAAGTTTCTTTGCTGAAATACAAAATCAGTTCGGTGTTTCTATTCGTACTTTTCATAATGATAATGCCTTAGAATACTTATCCTCTCAGTTTCAGGAATTTATGACTCATCAACGAATTATTCACCGAACATCATG